AACGACACTCGACTAGTCAAGAGTGCGGTGGGTAAGAGTGGATACCCATTCAATCGCCATATTATAGGCAATTTCCTTAACACCCCTTATACACCAGCTTCGTGAATGAGGTCTACTAATGGTAAGACTGACTTTTACTCATACATATATATAATCTTAGACTTTAATGTTATATATATATAGGGTGTATTTTACACTTTTAAAAATACTAGGTGGTAAATTTAACAATTATACTTTTAATTCAATTAAATTGTAAACCAAAACTATTATGGATTTATAAACCTCTTTAATTATACACCTTAAATTAATAAAACCAAAGGGGTGTGATTCGAACTTTTCAAAACATTACTAGGGTTTTAGAATTTAACATTCCTAATTAAACCTTTTAATCAACTTTTAAATTCCAAAACTTGAGGGAAAGTTTTGAAACATTTCAAAACATTAGGGTTTAGAATTTAAATATACATCAAAATTAAACTATCAATCAAAATTTAAATTCCAAAACTTGAGGGCAAGTTTTGAAACATTTTTTAAAACATTAGGGTTTAACTATTAAATTTCAAAACAACAAAACTTTTGGGTTCAAATTTAAACTATAAAACCTAAAGGGAAAAATATGAAACTTTCATAACAACAAGGATCAAATAACAAATAATCTTAATTAACATTTAATCACATAATTATCCATATTTGATTTATTTAATGATTTCTTGCAAAACAATTTACCAATTTAATCAAAATAATTAATCAATTATCACATAAGGAAACAAATATTTTATTAATTGATAAATATCTTTAATTAGATCAAGAATATAGTCAAATATATCATAAAATCGGATTTATATTGATCTAATATGATAAGGCAACTATCCTTAAGCAAAAACAACAAGAAATCCCGGTTTTCCCTCCATCTGACCAGCCGAGTCGCCGAGTTAGGTATGGACTCGTCGAGTCAGCATGAACTCGGCGAGTTCATCTATGGACTCGGCGAGTCCAGCCCCCAGAAACACAAAAAATGAATTTTTTCAATCATACAAAGCATCAAATACAATAGAAACCAATCTAGGCTTTGATACCACTGATGGGTTTTGGTCATAAGAACATCCTATGTGCTCATACAAACCCTAATGCTAGGATCTAGGTTTCTCTATTGTACATGCAAGTTATCCAAGACTATTAACCCTAATTCTAGCATTCAAGTAATCATATTAACATGAGAATAGGTTTAAGATCATACCTTGATTGTTATGTAGCAATAACAATCCTAAATCTCCTTGTATTGACTTTAGAAAGCTTAGAGTCACAAATGTAACTCCTCTAATGGTTCACAAACACCATAAGAAAGAGGATGAAGAGGAGAGAGGATGAAGGCTGCCCAAAATGTGTTCTAACCCTAGAAGAAGTCTTAGCCACGTTTTTGGGTCATAAGGGTTCTATATATAGTGAGGCTATTAGGGTTATCTAATAAGGAAACCCTAATTTGGATGCTTAAGCCCTAAGCAACCCATGGACTCCTTTCCTTAAGGCATTGGACAATTTCCTCATGGGTTTCTCCATAGAATTCGTCCACTCCTTAATATAAGACAATCCGTGGCCCAAATTGCAATTATCTTATAATTACAATTCTAGTCCCTTAAGTTTAATTAATCTCTTTTAGTCACAAAACTAATTACCAATTAATTCTTGACTAATATTAATTAAATAATATGATTTCTCCTTTTATATATTATTCTTATAGTATATTAATAAATCATATTTAATCATTTCTCTCCATAATTCATCCTATCAAGTTGCTTTGGTGAAGGCAACCCAAAAGGACCATGCACCATCGGGTCAAGTACATACCAAAATAGTTATGGACTTAGACACTAATCCAACAAATTCAACCTCAAATTATGCCACTTCGAACTAATATGGTCAGGATTTAAGCTTCATTTGCCATTAAATTACATAAAATGGTTTGAACTTTTTCCCAAAAACAATTATATGTTTGAGAATCTATAATTACAGGACTTTGGGAAACCGAAACCCACATTTGTACTAACTTCTCTAATTCATCTTTTGTATAAGCAACCCTTTCACTTTAAGTTGTTTTAGTGGTGTTTTGTCATTTTTTTGTGGTTGAGGTTGTTCTAGTTGTGTTTTGGCTACAAAATTTGGTGGTGAAAAATATGGATGTGAAGGTTGTGGTTGTGTTTGGAAAGGATGTTGGTAATTTGGTATATGTAAGCAGATTGAAAGTTTTGTGGATAGGGTGGGAAAATTTGGTATTATTGTTGTAAAAGTTGAGTATGTAGGATAAGAGAACCACTTTGGAGCAAGTTCATAAAACCACCTTGAGGTGATTCTATATTCGGGTATTGGCGTGGAGCTGTATCTAACGTAAAAACATTATCGAGATTACAGTGTCAATTACTTGGTGGGGTATTCTGATTTTGATCCATGGTATTTAGATTTTGTCAAAATAATGTGTATGCAAATAGAGGAAGAGAATAATGGTGTAAAAATATGGTTGTATGGGGTTGTAAAAAATATGTGTATGCAAATAGAGGAAGATAATGTGTTATTATTATTATTATTGTTAAAACTAAAAGAATTATAGCCGTTGTTGTTCGGCGTGTACACCAAAATTCATCAAGATCACAACCGTTCACAAACCACTGGGTGATGGTCTCGAACCGTGGTCATTTCCACGTAAACCACGAAACACTCCGTTGTATGTGAAACAAAATAATGATGTGAAAGTAATAGGGAATCACCTTCGATTTGGAACTGTTAGCAAAAATTTCAACCATTTTTCGGTTGAAGTGCGTTTCTCTACTTGTGAAGCTCTTAGTGGTGAAGGTGTTGGGATTTCGATAGGTGGTGAAGAGGGCGGTTTGGATGGAGATGATGGAAAAAGATATAAAAACAAAGATGATGAATTGGGTGAGAGGGTTTGGTTGGAGATATTTAGAAAAATCGAGCAACAGATGGTGGTGAATGGTGAGGGAGGCTTCTAGGTTTTTTGTGAGAGAGTACAAAGAATGGAAAAAGGGGAAGCGAGAGATGAGAGAGGGATGATGGGACAAAGTAGAGTAGAAAGAGCATACATGGAAGCGGACAACGATACAATGACAAGCGATCCGTGGTGGGAGTTGGGAATCGAGTACATATTTGAGATTAAAATCAGACAATTAATAAATGCTGAAAGTAAACCCAACCCTAACCCAAATTGATTGATGGTGGAGCTTGCGATTGAGGGAGTCTGGAATGAAAACGGGGAAGCCACCGGCCAAACCACCTCCATCGCACACCCCAAAGATAAAAAAAAAGCTTCCAAATCATCGTTTGTAATTTAGAGGATTTAAGCGATATATGAAATGTGGAGGCAAAATAATTAAATGGAGTTTTCATTGTTTAAAAGCGATGAAGGTGGTGGAGAAGGTGTCTGCATCTGATTCGAAGCAGTGGGCGATGGAGCAAACTAGGGACCAAAACTGCAAATCTCCACAAAGTATTGTGGCAAAATTCTTAAGCACAAAAAATGTACTCCTAAAAAGCACACTTATTAAATGTATATAATAGAAACAATAAAGTTTAACTATAAATCTTTAATTTTCCCATCCGTCTAGTGTAATGAAAATGGTTAGTTTTTTAATCTATATACGGAGGGGGTTTCTACGTAGCTTACACTACAGTTTTGTAAGCATTGTCCTTAATTTGGCTGGTTATCAAGACGTATCTTAGAGGCTGCGCTCAAGCTGAGCCTCCATAAAGTTAATTTTGTTTTAAAGATCCGGTTTTTATATGGTCCAACAAGACCGGTTGAACCGGGTTTTAAAAAAAACGGCCGGTTTTTAGTGGTTCAAATACAAACGGTTTTTGGCCTCAAAAAAACTGGTAACCTGAGTTTTTTCGGTTCAACATGCCGGTCTGGTCCGGTTTTCAAAACAATATTGTTGATGGATAATTAGGATTGCAGGCCCCATCATGAGATTTATGTTACATCGTAGGGACTGGTCTTGCTATGGAATGTTTTTTATCGCTTTGCAAGTACTGATGGTTTCATCGTAACTACTAGTTCTAGAACGAGATAGTTCATATTCGACTATATATATATGGGGCCCACCCTTATCAAGATAAGACTCGGCCACCGTGAAATCCCTTCTAGCCTAGTGAATATATCACGATATTTAGTGGGACTAGAATCTAACTTGTACAAAATTGTTCATTTCCAAGTCAATTCTGTCCATCCATTCCTGAAGCTATTTACTCAATCATAAAAAGATAACAATGATCGATTTTAAATCAGTTTTAATTTGGGTGTGGACAAAATAATTATAGTTTTCAACTTGTTTGTGGTTGCTGCATTAAGTGGGCGTCATTCAAGGGTCAAGTGGTGGTAGGGTAAGCGATTTCGAGTGGTTAAGTTGTCAAGAGAATTTTCGTGACTTGGCTTTTGTACTCGAGTGTGGTTTCCAATTATAGCATTGATTGTATTGTAAAAATGGAAAGTTTATAGTTTGATTAGTAATGGCATGTTACATTATTCACTTTATATCAAAAAATTGTTAAGTATCCAATACAAAAATTAAAACTTTATTTAACATAAACATATTATTAAAACTTGTCAAGAGATTTTTATAATATAAAATTATGTTGGGAATTATTAAATATTTAATTACATACTATTTATCTAATAAATAATATATAATGAAAATACGTTATTTTTCATTAAAATGTTGATATATTTTAACACGAAATTTTGGTATGCGGTTAAAGTGAAAAAAACAAAATTGACCTTAAATCAAATTTTATTATGTTTAGAAATATTGATAAAGTGAAGTATGAAACATGAATATATGATGCCATAAATTATTAAAGGTATGTTAGTGAATAACTTTATTGCTTGTTTTGAAAAGGAGTAATGACTTAAAATGATAACATATTATTGGGGTTGTACTGGGTTTGTACGTATTTAGTTTCTGATTTTTTTTATCCATATTTTTCCCTTGAACTTGCAGTGTGTAAAATAATCCTTCTTACTGGTTAATACCGGTTAAGTCGGTCATTTATTTTACAGGATTTTGAAAAAAATAAAATTAGTTACATGACAATTATGTGGAATCACCTTCTTCCATTCTCATATATGAAGAAACCTCATTTACGAAGAACAATAGTTAAGATTCCATTCTTACCATCCGTTCGGTCAGTACCTTATGACTCACCCTTCCTTTTTCTCAAAACACCACTCTGATTCAATGGAGGAAAATCAAGCTTTTCCAAAAGTCGATGTACACTATAATGATACTTTTGTGCCTAATCCATTAGTGTATTTTGCTCCAGAAGTACTACGACTGAATGAAGATGCAAACGAGTTTGTTTTCTACTATTTCATCAAATATGTTGAGAAGTTTATCGATTTTTAGTGTAAGCATGTCTATTTCTGTATACTTGAAGTGAGATTGAGTGAGGGGCTTCAAACACTACGAAATGAATGTGACTACTCTGAGTTTCTTGAGGTTGCAAATGATCATAAACATGTGGATGTGTATATTGACCACGATAATGAACCGATATTTAAGTGGATTCAGAAAGAAGAACCAGACGACGAAGAAGTTGTGTATTTAGAAAAAGATGTTGACTATGTTTTGGAAGATAATGAGAGTTGTGAACATGAAGAGGATGACTCTGCTATATCAAGCAAACGAATCTTCAAAAAAACCTACAATGATCAGTTTTTGAACAAGTTATGTCCAATCGTTGTTGTAGATGAAGATGAAGAAGGCAATGAACTTCCAACTATCTGCTCTAGGCATGATGCTACTTAGGAATGGAGGAAGATGAAGCCTGAACTAGGTATGAGATTCTCTTCTCCTGCTAAACTTAAGTCGTCTCTCAGTAACTATGCAGTATGACATGGATATGACTTGTATTATGAGAAGAATGACAAGGATAGGTTGCTTGTAAAGTGCTGTAAAGGAAAAACACCACAATCCCCTTTGAGATTGTGGTATTCTTGATGAAATATGAGTAAACATTTCAAATAAAATCCCTTAGAGAAAACCATAGTTGCTCAAGGGCATTCAAACTTGGGTCAATATTTACCTACAAGTTGATATGGAAACAGTTTGTCACTGATATATTGGAGTCCCCTAAAACGAGTTCGAGGAAGATGAAAGCCATGGACACAAGGTACATATACACAAATTACCTTTCACACATACTAACATTCCAAATAAATGCAGGGTATAATGGAGGTTGTGAAAAAAATATGTCCAGAAGTGAAGCATAGGTTGTGTGCTAGGCACATCCTTGCTAATTTCCATAAAAAGTTTAAGGGTGAGTGCTACATAAAACCTTTCTGGAGGGCTATAAAGGTGACTACAATTCATAAATTTGAACTTGCAATAGAAGAGATCAAGAGCTTTGATATAGGAACATACAACTATCTCATTAAAAGGGACCCTAACTGTTTGTCAAGTGTTTTTTTAAGGTGGGAATGGGATGTGATGCAATGGAAAATGGTGTTTCTAAGAGCTTCAATGCTGCTATTGAAGAAGCTAGAAAAAGCCATTGATCACTATGTTAGAGGACATAAGGGTGTTTGTGATTGAGAGATTGTGCATGCAGAAAGGGAAAGGATTGGGTTGGAATTTGGCAATCTGTCCAACTATTAGAAAGAAGCTTAGTGAACTAAAGAAGTTGAGAAGGTTAGTGGATACAAACAATTTTACATACTTTTTATACATGCAAGTGCTAACTAACTTTTTGTAATGATAGATTCTGGGCTCCATATGTTAGTGGATAAAACCATTTTGAGGTTGTGCAAGGTAATGAAAAGTATAGTATTGGCTTGGAGAAAAGAGAATATGGATGTAAAGGTTGGTAATTAACATGAATTCCTTATGTACATGCCATATGTGCCATATCTTCTTTGAATCTTGATTCAGAGGAATATGTTGCAGAGTGGATTACTAAATCTGCATTTCTTAGGGCCTATGAGTACACCATACATCCCCTAAATGATAGTACCTTGTGGCTCCACATGCCTAATGTTGACTGGATACTACCTCCTATTAGGAGGAGGTTACCTAGTAGGCCATATGTGAAAAGAAAAAGAGACCAAGCAGAAAATGAACTCAGTGGGAATACAAGACATACTATAAGCATGGCATGTAACGCCCGTGTTTCTGGGCTAAAAGCATTAATAAAGTTGTAATAGTCTAGGTCAACCTTTGTAACTCATTTTGAAGTAGTAAAGAGGAATTATGTGAATATTATGTGAATTATATGCTTATTTGCTTAATTATTGTGATTTAATTAATTAATAATAAAAATAAGCATTTAAAATAAATATTAGAAAAAGCCGATATCTTTTAAGAAAGTTGTAGTGGCCGAAACAAGGATTCCGGAGATATAAAGAACATCGAAATCCGAGTTATAACGAAGAAGTTATGACCTGTCGAAGTTTCGCGACAAAACCAACACGGGACCAGGAAGCATAAAAAGTGAATATTACGATAAAGTGCTTTTTAGCCTTAACAATCTAAACTAAAGTCATAGTATTTGTTAAATCGAGAAGTTCGATAAAAAGAACGCCCAAATCTGACTTCGTATGAGGAAGTTATGATTTTTTTAAGTTTTAGCTTAGCAGTAGACAACTAAATACTCGAATTTAAGATCGAGCGAAATTTAGCCGACACAACCTAAACGAGAATCGAAGGTCTCATCAATAGTAGTACAACGGTAAAAAGACTGACGAAAACGGATGTCGGATGAAGAAGTTATGAATTTTTAACGGATTTTCCTGTCCCGGTCTGTTAAAAATAATAATATTAAAATTAAAGTCAAAATTATCCGAAGAAGTCTAAACGAAAGTTGTAGAGCATGATTTTAGCTATGCATGCATATAAAGAACGTCAAAAATGGAGCTCGTATGCGAAAGTTATGGATTTCAGAAGTTCGGGGCTCAAAATTCGAAAAATTTCGCATGAACAGTAACCGGACACGTCACCTCGCACGAAGCTGCTGCGTCACCGAGGACGTGGCCGAATCCGGACCAGACGCGTGTCGCAACTCCCTCGGACCGAAGCCTCGGCCAATCAGAAGATGCCTCGTGGCCGCCGCGTGTTCGAACCTCGCAGAGACACGTCCGAGTCTCGTTGCCGCCTCCGTGTCTCGCCTCGCTGCTGCCACGCGCCTCCTCCCCTCGCAGCCACCTCCTCCCTTCGTCACTGAGCCTCGCAAGCAGCTACATGGAAGCTTCTCAGCCACGGAGACCTCGGCCTCGCACCCTATAAATAGGGGGCTGCGAGATCTCCCGACTACTTTTGAAAACTTGTCATTTTCACCCCTAAACTTATATTTTGACTATTTTGACTTCCCCCAAAGCCCCAGTATCATTTTTAAAGACCGGAATACGTCCCGAAGTGCCCGAAAACCCAGAAAATTTTATCTTTTTGGTTTTGAAGCACCAACTCTCGCAGAGCCCGGTTTCTCAATAAAACTCCCGGTTTTATCAGAAACGATCATTTTAAGGAACGAATTGGTGCCCGATTATCATCAAACCAAGTGAGTGTATAGTCACTTTCATCTTACACATAGATATGAAGTATTTTCTATAAAATACGTGTTATGTGTAATTATATTGATTGTTTATTTGAGATGATTGTTGAATACAATGTTTTATACAAGTTATAAACTGTATATGTATTTTATCTACAAATATGTTGGGTAGAACATGGGTAGACAAAATAGTTGATGTGTGTTAAAATGATGAGAGGCCTCGATGTTGTTGTTGTTCCAGTCATCTAGCGGAGTATGGATGACGACCACGGACTCTTCTAGACAGTCCAGTGGAACGCTAGCAGGCTCGCAACCTGTAGGTGTTGTGAACGATGTGTTCACCGGTGTACTCCATCCCCCTCATGGTTGCCTTTAGGACATTTATTGTTGAGGAACCCCCTTAGCAGTAGTGTCCATCCGATGATAAAATCCTTAGACTAGGTCCCTTGTATAGGTGTTTAGGGACGTAAAGTGAGGATAACGGGAATGGGTAATCAGGGTTATTGTTGGTTGATGAAATTAATAAATTTATTGTTGATCGATGAAATTAATAAATTTATTATTATTTGTGGGTTGAAAACCCTATATGCTCACCAGGCTCCCAAGCCTGACCCACTCAGCTTACTGTTTTACAGGTAGTGGACTCAGAGCATAATTATGATGATGATGAGGGACTTTTGGATTATAGGCCATTAGTTGTAAATAACTGTTGTAAGGCTTATAATGTACTGTTTATACTTATGTACTATATCGAACATGACATCCCAAGTCTTTTAATGAAATACATTTCTATGGAAATGATTTTGATAAATCTTTATCATATTATTGTTTTGGGACAAATTCCGCAATTCTTTTATTAAAAGGTTACTTTGATTTTGAAATAAAGTATAAACAAAACCGGTTTTTTCTGGCCGTGAAATTGGGATGTCACATGGCAGGTGTTCAACATAGATGTACAATTTGTAATGAAAATGGACACAAAAAAAATACATGTCCAATGAGGGGTCCTTTTGAAGCAGGTCCAAGTAAAGAAAGAAAAAGCGCAATGCAAAAAACCGTCCTTCACAAGCAGGTCCAAGCTCTCCAGCTCCCAGTGATCCAACACATGTGAATCAAGATCCTATGACTCAAGATCATGTTAATCAAGAGCATTTGATTCAAGAGAATGTCCATGTGAATCTAGATCCTGAGAATCAAGATCCTGTGAATGAAGTATCTATCAACCAAGATCCTGTGAATCCAGTACCTGTTAACCAAGTACCTGTGAATCTTAGTGTTAGAGGGCCTAAGATCCTTGGTGTTAGAGCAAGGAAGCCTTCATAAAGAATCAACAAGATACAAATCAGGAAGCATGCATGTTTTTAGAAAGGATGGAAAATGAGTGATTGAGGACAACCTAATTACTTTAGAATGATTAGGGTTACTTGTTTTCTTTTGCTTTGGAAGTATGTAATAGTACACTATGTATGGTGACTTTCTTTTGATAATTGGGCCAAATTTTGATGTAATTGACAATACTACCTTACTTGTAACCTAGCAACTATTGATGGCCTTTTAGTAATGGAATCGAATATGGTATCCTATGTCAATTGTGTTTTGTCATTTTCAATCTTTATTTGTACTAATGCCTTAGTTTATTATCTTGTTATGATGGAATCATATGTCAATTGTCTACTGGGAATCATATTTGTTTCTATCAATGTCATTGTCTTTTGGTTGTTGAAATTGTAGCCAAATTCAATGTAAATTGCATTTGTGTACCATGTAACATTTCATTTAATACTAACCCAACATTCAATATAAACCATTCAATACATTCAAACTATCAAAATTCATACATCATACCAAACTTAATTCAACTGTTTTCAGATAATAGTACAACTGATTTCAACCCTATAACTATGTGCTTTATTCTTCAGCTCTTGAACATCTTTCTTCAAATATGCGACATCCTCTTTAACCGCTTTAAGTTCTTGTTCTAAATCTGGATTCCCAGCCATAGGTTCATCAATCCATTCCTAATACTTACACTTCTTACCTGGTTTCTGATAGCTTCATTTTACTTACTTCTTTTTGTTGGATTAGGTGTCTAAGCCCATAACTATTTTGGTATGTACTTGACCCGATTATGAGCATGGTCCTTTTGGGTTGCCTTCACCATAACAACTGATAGCATGAATTAAGGAGAAAGAGGATTAATTATGATTTATTAATATATTATGAGAATAATATATTAAAAGAGAAATCATATTGTTTAATTAATATTAATCAATAATTAATTAAGAATTAATTTTGTGGCTAAAAGAGATTAATTAAATAAAGGGAATTGATATTTTAATTATAAGATAGTTGCATAAATGGGCTAATGGAGTCCATATATGTTGGAGTCGACGAAACCTATGGGGAAACCCATAAGAATTCGTCCAAGGCCTCTAAGAAGGGAGTCTATGGGCTGCTTAGAGCTTAAGCAGTCAAATTAGGGTTTCCTTGTTTGATAACCCTAATAGCCTAACTATATAAGGAACCCCTAATGCCCCAAAAACGTGGTTAAGTGATCCCTAAGGGTTCTTGGATGTTTTTGTGCCTTCTCCTACTTCTCCTTGTTCATCTTGTTGTTTATGGTGTTTGTGACTCCATTAGAGGTGCAACATTTAAGGCACTAAGCTTTCAGAAGTCAAGATCAAGAGGATTTGAGATTCTTATTGCTATATAACAATCAATGTTCGATCTAAACCCTTATTCATATGTTAATTTGATCATTGTATGCTAGATGTAGGGTTTATGAACTTTTGATGATTAGTGCATGTTCATTAGACAAACTAGATCCAAAGTTTTAGGGTTTGCATGCACACCATAAGATTGACGTTTTGCTCACAACCCATCACTTTTTATATTTTATTTTAGCATTTTTTTCATTCATAGTTTAGCTAATTTTCATGCATATTTTCCTTTTTGTTTTTTATGACAGTTTCAGGTATTTTCTAGTTTCGTGAGCATAATTACAGATTTTAAGGAGACTAGCGGAGCAAGACCTTTGGGTGCCGATTGGACATTAAGGACAATAAAGATTTTTGGGCTTAATAACTAGAGGAGGTGATGCATAGAGTGAGCTATAGATGGATGGAGCATTGAAGAAGATGGTCTCTAAGTTAAATGAAGATGGAAGAATTTCCAAGCATGTGAAGATTAATGATCGGGTGATTACACGAGCTTTGGAGGATTTGTGAAAGACAAGTTGGGCTCAAATTGAAGAGAACTTGAAGAAAAATGGGCTAGAAGCTGATCGGACTCAAACTGGGCTAGTGGACTAAGCAGTGTAGGCCCAACAAATGGAAATGACCCATTCTCCGTCAGTTCATGCAGCCCGTATAAGAATTCCACGTGGCTCGTGTGAGTTTATCAAGGGAAATTTTATGATTTTACTTTTAGCTTCTATTTGAGGAAGTTTGGTGGGACTCTTTTCACACTTTTTTCACATCCGATTTAGGAGCACTTTCTCTGGAGATTTGGAAGACTTTGAAAGCCAAGAACACTTGAAGAAGATCATCTTTTCATCTCTAAATCTTGTGTTGGATAAGGTGTCTAAGTCCATAACTTATTTGGTATATACTTGACCCGACCGGCATGGTCCATTTGGGTTGCATCTCATCCAAACTATTATGGATAATTTTGTGAGAGTTATACACATATGTTTATTAATATATTATGAGTTATAATATATTAATATGAAGTTACGTTATTTAATTAGTTTTAGTCTTAAATTAATTATGAATTAATTTAGAGATTAAAAGGAAGACTAATTAGATTATGGGCTATTTGTTTTATATAGTGTGGGCTAATACTCATTTGTTAATGGGCTAGGCTTATGTGGAAGTCCATGGATGATCCATGGAGCTTTTAACCCATGGATCCTTGGAAAGGAAAAGACATGGGTTATTAGGGTTTCACCCTAACCATGCACACTATATAAGCATGCTTATGGAGCATGAAATGGAGCCTAAGAGAAAACTAGTGAACTAGTGTGTGTGTGTGCATGTGTGTGGCCGATTTTATACAAGGGTGTATACTCTCTCAAAGTTTTCCAAGAGTTTGTGGTGTTTGTGATTCCATTTGAGGCATTCACACTATTGGTGCTTGGCCCTCAAACTCCTTAGAACCAAACTCACCAAAAGGTATGTAATCTCTTCTAACTCTTTTATGTTGAAATGTTCCCCATGCCATGTTAGATAGGTTATAAACCTTGGAAAATTATTATTTTGCATGTATTTAGACAAACATAGATCCAAGGTTTATTAGGGTTGCATGCACACTTAGGAAGTGTTAGATTGCTCAAAACCCAACAGTGGTATTAGAGCCTAGGCTTGCTTGTTTGATACTTGATGCAAAATAGTGAAAAAAGTCGAAATCGTTGCTGTCTACATGGTGGACTCGCCGAGTCCAAGGCAAACTTCAACCTACTTGACGAGTCAGTTCATGCACTCGACGAGTAGGATCGAAAGAGTGCAGTTTTTCGACTTTTGCTGCTGGAAATGGACTAGAAACATTACCCTAAACTGTTTTGGTGTTATAAAACTTATTTTAGTTGGTGTAATGGTTGTTCTAATCCATTTACAATAGCATATATCAAAATTCCATGATTTTATGTGTTCATATAATTCTTGAATTTTTGATGATCATGTTCATGTTCTTATGAATTTAGAAAATGATAGAAATTATTTGCTGAATTGTTTAGGATTAATTCTTTATCATTTATGTGTTTTAATGGAGTTCATAATTTGTCCTCAAGTTATGGATTTCCAAAGGTCACTCTTATTTAACACACACTTAAAACACATAAGTTACATGAAAATGAAGAGTCTTCATTTTTATGAACCTTTAATTCATAAGTTATGAAATGAAGAGTTTTGCAAAGTTACAAAACTTGCCCTCAAGTTTTGGAATTTGTAAAGTTTCACACACTTTAATAAACTTTAATTCCAACCCTTAGAGTTTTAATAGTTAAAATTCAACCCTTATACTATTTATAACATTAATGGTTAATTATTATATATATGTATAAGAATAAGTCGTTTTACCGTTAGTAGGCCTCATTCACGAAGGGTCTATAAGGTGGGTATAAGGTTGTTGCCTATAAAATGGCGACTTAATGGGTGTATACTCTCACCCACCGCTTGCTTGATCGGTGGAGGGTCGTTAGCCGAACGGGTAGAACAATGACTTTAAATCCTCATTAAAAGTATAATGAATATTATAAAATAACTAAACTCTTTTAATTCCCAATCTTAGTTATTTTAGGAAAAATGTGAACATGGTGCTAGTCCATGGAATTCACACTTTGTACCTTACCAAGTCGTTGGTGGAGTGTGTGTGGTTAACCGGCACACTAACTAGGACTAGTAAGGATCACGAAGGGTGACTTAATGTTTGTCATAGATCAATGGAGCGTGTGTGGTTAACCGGCACATTGATTAGGTGATAATATTAAGGGTACCAAGTGAATTAGCATGGTTATTCACACCTTGTTTTGTGATCCTCGGCATCCCAGTCACAAAACTTGAAGGGCACAATCGAGATTGAAACATGCCATTGAAAAGTTCAATGAATCTCAAAAGAATCTAGGAATTTCAAATCCAATTAAACCTAATAAATCATTTCGTTTTCATGGTGGAAATTGGTGAATCGTCATTCACCTACCTTTCAAATATATTATTACTTAGATTACGACATCCCTCTTCTAAGTGTAATATATTGTGATTGGATCCTAGCCTTAATATTACATTTGGGTGTCTTATTAAGGATCCTATATATATCTAATCTAAACTTACTCTCTTTTCAGATGTCTTCCAACACTAATGCTTCAGGCTCTAACCCAACTGGTTCTTTCTCTCTCATGAATCTTTGTGGGAGGGTCATCTTTGATGGTTCCAACTTCATGGATTGGATTAGGAACATCAGGATGGTTACTCGTTACGAGGACAAGAATATGTCCTCGATAAGGAGTTAAAAGAACTTGATGAGTCTACTGCTACTCCTGAGGAGATCGCTGAATTCAGGACTCATGAGAGAGATGCTACTAAGGTGGCATGTATCATGATGGCCACGATGACAGCCGAGCTCCAAAAGTCATATGAAGATTTCTACCCTTTTGAGATGCACCAAGATCTGATGGAAAGGTACCATCAGAGTGCTCTTCAGGAGCATTATGAAATAATCTCCTCCATAATAACTACCCGCATGAAGGATGGTGAATCCGTCACGGGCCACATGCAAAAGATGCAAAGGTATGTGGACCGTTTGCTGAAGCTGAATGTTAACATCCCCGA